TCAATAGTGTTATTCTTGAGTCAAGGTTCAAACCCTTAGTCACCATGGAAGAAGAGATCAGAACATATTGTATGGAAAGATGGGCAACAAATAGAATGAGGTTTCAAAATCTACCTGATGATGGTGTCTTGCTTAATATTAGAAGGAACGTTGAAAAAACCAGTAGTTACACCAACTTATGGATTGTGAGGTATCTCTCTTGTGCACTAAATTATGACCTTTATATTGTGTATTCTATTGTCCATATGTCAGCTGAACTATCTACATATGTCTGTTAATGTAGGTTGTCTGCTAAATCTACACATGTCTGTTAATGTAGGTTATATGCTGAACATATATTTGAGGTTAGGCATGTTGAAAATGTTGTAGACATATTTGTTGTAGATTTGAAAGAAAGAGTATGCTCTTGTAGAAGGTGGGTCCTAACTGGACTGCCATTGAAGAATACATCCCTGATTATTATAGGAAGTCAATGTACATGAAGGTCTATTCACTTGTGATTTATCCTATAAATGGATCAAATTTATGGGTGAGAACTGAATATCCAGATGTGCAACCTCTTAAATATAGAAGGATGCCTGAAAGAACAAAGAAAAGAATAAATCTTGAGCAAGGGGAGCTGGATGGGACCGACAAAAGGATGAGGAGAATAGGGTTTGTTGTAAGGTGTTCTAGGTGCAAACATCCAGGGCACAACAAATCAACCTGTAAGGTGACACCAATTACTCAAGGCACTCCAAAAAATGCTCAAGGTTCGCAACAAACACATGGTTCTCAGCAAACACAATCAACAACTCAAGGCACTCAACATGTTGCTCAATATACTCAACCAACTTCTCATGGTTCTCAACAAACACAAGGTACACCTGCTGCTCAAGGAAGTCGTTCAACTATTGAAGATTCTCAAATACCAAGAACTAGAGGCACACAAGGTTCTCAACTGCCAAGAACTAGAGGCATATATGCTACTCAAGTATCAACACTAGAAATGCCAAGTAAGTTGGGTGTTAGGAGGCCATCAACACCTTTTGTTACTCCTGGACATACTACAAGACTAAGTGCTGCAAAGAATGTGATTGGCCCAACTAAAAGGAGGACAACTCTAACTAAGAGGACTACACCCAAGAAAAAAAACTTAGATCTATTTAGGATGTCATTTTGAATTGCTGTCATTTTGTGTAATGCTTATGTATGTCCTTTTGGAACCACTTACTGTCATTTTGTGTTATGCTTATGTTTGTCATTTTGAATTGTTGTCATTTTGTGTAATGGATATGGATGTCATTTTGAACAAGTTTATATGTTATTGACAATTATGTGTTATGTTGAAATTCTGTTAAAGACAAGTTTATGTGTTATGACAACTCTAACTAAGAGGACTACACCCAAGAAAAAAAAAACTTAGATCTATTTAGGATGTCATTTTGAATTGCTGTCATTTTGTGTAATGATTATGTATGTCCTTTTGGAACCACTCACTGTCATTTTGTGTTATGCTTATGTTTGTCATTTTGTGTAATGGATATGGATGTCATTTTGAACAAGTTTATATGTTATTGACAATTATGTGTTATGTTGAAATTCTAATAAAGACAAGTTTATATGTTATGACAATTATGTGTTATATTGAACAATTGAACAATGTTACAAACTTAAAAATCAGAACTGCATAAAAAACCAGAACTGCATAAAAAACCAGAGAAATGTTACAATGATACAAACTAAAACATTTCACTACAACATAAAAAATCAGAACCGCTACAATGTTCAAGGTTCAACTAATTTGGAATACAAACTTAAACATTTCAAATCATCATGAAAAAAACCAGAACCACTGTAACTACAATAACAAACATCATCCAACGATTTTTCCACTTCAAAATCTTGTTCATCTCATTTTGAAGTTGATCCATCTCCTTGCTTAATTCTTCATTTGTCAACCTAACTTTTTTAATCTCCATTTTTGCATCATCTAAATTCTTTGATAACTGTTCCAATCTAAACATTATAAATTGCCCTTTTTCATCTTGAGCTTCATCATAGAACCACTCAAAATACCAACACTCTGGTTGCATTTTTTCATGCAATTTACAATGGACTATTCAAAATTGTAATAAGCATACAAACTCCTTGTACATATGACATACACACCTTACATGAGAACAACCCCAAAAAAATTTTGATAGCTCTTTGTCGTTGTAGACCTATGAAGAATTATCGTGTCTCCAGAATGACAACTCGGTTTCCATGAAAGATTTGAGCTCGTGAACACACTGGAGTTCATAATTTCATGGTTGTTCTGTTTCATGGATGATGAAGCATAACCCGATTTCATGGAGATCGAATCCTAATCTTCAATTTTTGGGAATCAAAATCAAATTAACATGACAAAATCCTATGAAGGAAAATGAAAGAAAGGAAAACGAAGATGCAAGATGGTGGTGAAATAGAGAAAGGAAAAAGAACAAGTCATGTCATTTGCCACGTCTTCATCCTCTAACGTCTGTTTGGAGTAAATAGACGGAAATGACTCGTCTGCTTTATTTAAAATGATTAAGGGATCAATTTGAACATTTTAAAAATTAAGGGACCAAAATGAACCTCGAGCTAAAGTTAAGGGACGAAAAAAGATATTTTGCCATTTTTTAATGTTAGTCAAAAGCTTTGGAGTTGCATCAATGATTTAAAACCTTTTAATGTGAAACACAGAATTAGGGACTAAAAAAAAGATTAAGGGAATAAAATCAAAAACACACAAACTTACAAGTTGTGTTCATATCTTTATCCCCAACTTTCATACAAACTCATAATTTTTTTTAACTCAAAATTGATATTGTAACACCAAAGACTCGATTGCAGCTTGAAGAAATGCTATAAAGTTCAAGAACTCAAATAAAAATACAAAAAAAAATCTACAAATAAATTATTTGTCTTACTTCCTTACCCAAATACATTTATTTCAAAGAATAAGAAATAGAATGTACTAAACTTCAAAGAATAAGAAATTTGAATGTACTAAACTTTAAAGTATAGTGGTTTCAAAACCAACACTAGTGTGTAAAGTTATAAGTGAAAATTGAATGTACTCAACTTCAAAGAATAAGAAAATTAGGAGATTTGAGTTATGGATCTTGAAAAGGAGTGTCAATGATTGAAATTTTACAATTAGAATTGAAAAGTTAAGAAGATTTGAGTTTTGTATCATGAATACCAGGGTTAAGATTTAGAACTTGGAGAAGAGGATTGCAGAATTGAGGGGTTATGGGTTATGCATATTGAAGATTTTGAAGAGAATTAAAAGAAGTCGATGAAGCTCTAATGAAAGATGATGGTGAAGATTGTGAGAGAAAGAATGAATAATTAAGATACATAAACAAAAAAATATTTTGAAAAAAAATATGGATTTGTATGAAAGTTGGAGATGAAGATATGAACACAAACACAAAATTAGAGATTAAAACAAATATATATATTACAGAGACTAAAACAAAAAACGCACCAAGTTACAAGAACGAAAATTCTATTTTATTCATAATTTGTGATTTGTGTTCATATCTTTTTCTCCAACCTTCATAAAAATCCATAATTTTTTCAAACCAAATTTTATTTTCTTTGAAATGGGTTTTTATAAAAAATTGACGTAGAATTTAAAGGTGAAAATAAACGAAGATCGTAGATAAATTTAGGTATAAAATGTTTTGTAAATTTTTTTTTTTAATTCCGTCCTCACATGTCATGTCATTGGTGTCATGTCATTGAACATTTAACACTTTAACTTTTTTTATAATGAAGGATTGATGTCAAAGACTAAAACCAAACGAAACTCAATATATAAGAACATTATAAAAAAATTTAAAAAATTAAAATAAAAAACATGTCAACTTACCAGAATAAAAAACTATTTAAGTAAATAGGATTTCATCTTAAAATAAATCTCACATAATTCAATCAATAACTATAAAATGTTCTTAGAAGCCTCTTATACAAATTATAAATTTAATTATATATATATAAATATAAATTACATCATATTATTATATCAAAAAATTATTAAGTATTATAGGAACAATTTCGGATTGAAGAGATTATCAATTATATGAGAGGATTATTACTCTTATCGTTATCTAGAGTTTTTAGAGTATATAATTGTTTAATGAGATATCGCTTAAATAACTATAAATAGTTCAACTCATCATAATTTATTCTGAAAGAAAATTTAATTAAATAATTTATTTATAATTAATATTTAATACAATTAACTATGATATAATTTATTAATTATTATTTATGTTAATTCGTATGTGATTAATCAAATACTAATTTAAGGATATAAAGAATTTTTACTGTCAATTAATCCTAACCCTTAAATCTTTACATATGTTTGACTTTTTTTTTAATCACATCTAAAATTTTTTTCCTAATAATTGTGATGTACAATTGTGTAAAATTAACACCTACAACTCATCCGAATTAATCTAACTAAATAATTAATCTAAGACTTTCTCCTAAAATTTTAAATGTAGTATTATTACTCTATGATATTTGCGTCGATCTGACGGTCAAAACTCATCTACACATAGTTTCAGTTTTATGCTATGACATTAATTATGGGGCATAAGTATTTTATTTTATTTGTTTTTGGATGTGTTTTGTGACCTCTGAATAACTTGAACGTTCTTGATCTTTCATAGTTACAAATCTAAAACATGTACAAAAAGAATTTGACACTCACTCAACGTGCTGGTCACAATCTAAATTATAAATGATTACAAGTATCAAACAATCTATGTAGAGGCAAAATGGCAGCAGCATCTTTTGTTTTCAGTTTTAACACTTTCATGGTACAAAATCCTTGTCATTTCTTCAACACAAACAAATGACAACGACCTCTTCTAATTCTGATTTGCCATCATCTTCCATTTTTGCCGAGCATGTCAACAAGTTTTTTCTTTCATTTCTATGTCTTATCCTAGCATTTGAGTTATACCCAATTGTTCATGTCAAAATAACTTGTTAAACCAAGAATGTGGATAACATTCTGCAAATCTTGGCAGAAAAGCTTCCCTTCGTAGAGATAGTTGAAGACCTGCCACAATCCTCACCAAAGATGTCCACAAAAATGGAGCACAACAGAATGCATAGAAAAATACAGACATAGCTCGTACTATTCCATCAGGATACCAAGGAAATGCCATAACCAGTAAAACCCCAAGAATCGCGAGCCAAGGTACCAAAACTGGCAACATTGGTAGCAGAAAGACATCAATTGCAATTGAGCAAAATGTAAAGGAACCAAGGAAATACAGGATCCAACCAAGTAGAGGGTGAATCGTGTGAGGAATGATAAAATAGGGTGTTACATAAGCAGCAAGTATGCACCACAGTGCTACGAATTTGAGACTGTTGTGTGCCAGGTTGATGCTCTTATCAGAACGCCTAAAACATAACTTTGAGAGACTTGGCCTTGCCAAACGCGTCATTGCAATTATTCCTATATATATTGCAGATTGCATAAGTATCACAACCATTTCTGAAGGATACCTGAATCAGTTATAAATCAAATTTAACATTAGCTTTCATTTCTTTTATAAGATTGGAGAATGAATACACCCCTTTTTGAACTTACCCTATAGTTTGGCGACGTTGTTCATGCCACTGGATGCCAAGTGGCAGGACAGGCCAGGACCACCAATACCATGGCTTCAACCATGGTGCCCCTGGGAATGTGATCACACTATTTGGTCCACAGGGTATGCTCCATCGAAGTTTAAGATCTGAAATCAGAAAGGAAGGATATTAGAACATATTAGTAAATTACATAAATTCCAATGCACCATTCCATAAACGCATATTACAATGTTTAAAGAACTTATCTATTATAATGTACTTACAGTAGTAAGAAGCGTCCATCTGATAACCTAAAGGAAGCCTATATGTTCCCTCAAGCTTGGTGCCATTTGAAGGAGGGTGGAATAGTGGTTTATCAAGCAAATCAGGGAAGTAGCTAGCTATAAAACCTTGGTCTGCACCATCTGGATTTTCTCTCCCATTTTGTAATTCATTAACCATGTCTTTGAACACAGACATTGATGGCTGCCAATACCAAATAATCATAAACCACATGTCAGAGAACAATTAAATGTTACAATTCCAATTTCTTGGTTTTGTTTAAGGCAATGTGATTTTACCTGCAACACGAACAGACCAGTATGGAAGACACAAGGATTGATAAAGACAGCACAGAACTGTCCACATTGAAACAATTCATCAGTGTTTTGAAGGAAAAGGTTGTCAGCATCTAGCATAACTATCCTGTCATAGTCCACTAAGCTCCAAGCATAGAGTTTATTAAGTGATAGCTTAAATCTCTTGTCAAAATTATCCTGATGCTTGTAGGGATTGTCCAAGTTTGGCACCCTCACGACTTTCGCACCATCTTCTTCTTCCCTGATAAAATACAATCCAGACACAAAATACAGCACTGGTATAAGTTCACTAAATCAATAAATGAACGCACAAGGTAACAAAATTGCTCTTGACTCTCATGAGATAGATCAGAGTGAGTTATTATTAGACTGGAACTAGAGGGACCGAAGTGCAATTTTGTGCTTTTATATTATTAGACTGGAACTTAAGGGATTGAAGTGCAATTTTGTGACTTTTGTGAGTTATTATTACAAAGCATAGATACAATGTATGACACCGACCCTTTTAGGAATATCTGGATTTCAAATTCAAAGACAAGGCACCAACTACTTAGATGTGTTTCAAATTTTGGAAAATCCATTGAAATATTAAATTGCTTTGACGAGTAGTTGCTGATAGTATGATAACTTCCCATGTGAAGATTAGGGATACGAGGCTCCAGCTTCTGCCATTTGGTAGGAGTATAATGGTCAACTTATTTTTTTCTAAAAAGGCCAAAAGAAGACTATTATTCTATTGATTTGGCAAAAGTTCAAATAAATTAATTAGTAGATACGCAAGATTGATGATTTTTTATTCAATAACATTATAAAATTATTTTATATTGTATGCTACTTAACTCTAAAACGAAAACCACTGCTTAATTTTCCAATATATGTCGGCAAGTTAGTAAAAATTATTTTTATTTTATTTTTCACACGTTCGTCCGCAAGGTAGTAAAAATTATTTTATTTATTTTTCACACGTTTTCTATACAGGAGATATTCTGATTAGTACAAATGCAGTTTTTAAAAATGTAACTTTAAGCAATTTAAATTGAATTTAATTGATATACAATAACACTTATTGTATAAAAAATTTATATTATCATTAAATTTTTTATAAAGTTTAATTTTAATTTTAATCATTTAAAAAATAATATCAACCGATCGTTATAATAAATTGACAGTATAAAATTTATAGACTGACGGTGCATAATAATTAATTTTATTTAAATTATTAAATAATCAATAAAAATTCAATATTATTTATTTAAAAAATGTAAGATATTTTTGATAATAAAACTCTTGCTAGTATTAATGAAAAAATAGTTGCCCGGTCACTTCATTGCATTTTGAAATTAAGTAATATACTACTTAAATTAAAAATATTTAATACTTTTATATTTCCAATGGGAATATAAATTCAAATAAATAAGTAATTTACTGAATACTCTTCCGATTTATTTTTAATTGTTTTTTATTTGAAATCCCTAAATAGTTATCTGTTTGTCTGCCTTCAACCGATAATAGAAGAAAGTGTCAATAGTGTAAATATACTAAGTAACGTGTTTTTGGTATTCATATTCAATTTAAATTAAACAGAATCAATCACGGAGAAACAAACAAACAAATAGAAACTAACAAAGTCAACACACAACCCAAAAATATCTTCAATTTCACAAGGACACACCTTCTCATCTTAGTAGTGCCCACGCCAATGCTACCAATTTTTTATTAATATTCTAATATTCAGCATCTTCCATAGCGCGTTCATTGAACAAACGCTCTAATCTCAATTGGATTTTAGGAGTATTTCTAGATAGTAATCCTAATGAGATTGCTTCTAGAATAATCATTTTCTATGCAAATTTCCACAAAATGTAAAACGGAAGAAAGAAAAATTTAAAGAAAACTGAAAAAATGAGATAAACTGGCAAGGTAAGGTAATGGAAGAAACACTCACAGAGCTCGAATCCATGGAAGAGGAACATCGAGAGAAGCAATAACAACGAGATCAGCTTGAACATTAAGCTTGGAAAGCGATCTAACAAGAACGCGAACTGCAATATAGAATTCGTAATCCCTTGGTGTTCCTACATACATCATCGTCGCGTATGCATTCTTGAAACTCTTGTGCGTAGAAGATATAGACGACGACGTCGCTTCGATGTAAGGTGTTAACGAGAAATGAAATAAAGCAATCGATAACAGAAGCAACCATTTCAGAGTATTTGCATTTTGATCCATTTTCTTTTCTCCCAAATTCTGAAAGAACTAGTTAGCAATATTCGTATTGCAATAAGAGTGTTGTTATATAGTACTATAGTATATTTGTATTGTTATAGCGTGTGGGGAATGCGAAAGTTTCAAGTAGTAACGAAATGCTGTATTAAGCAGCCTTTCAAGACTTTTTAAATGGTACTATACCTCAGAAATAGATCTAATCAACTTGTGTTGAATTAAATTTGACTTAATCGTATTTTCTTTTTTTTTTCTTTTATCTTTATTTTAGCTACTTGTGGTGTTTAAAATCTTTTTCAATGTTTTCTTATAGCAGTTTCGGATACATGTGGTTTGGAGAGAATTTTCAACTTTTTTTTTTGATGGAAGACTGGTATTATTTTCACCAACCTTTTTATTTATTAATATATACATAAATTTAGTGGTATTTAATTAAAATTTTAAAACTGGGTATACCAATTTTGCGGTCAGTCAAAACTTTTACAAATAAAAAGTAGATATGATACTTAAAAAAATTGATGGATTATTAAAAAATGATTTAATAAACATTTTAATAAAATTTTAAATTTAAAAAAAATTTACTTTTTTTGTTATAACTTTTTGCCTGCCATATTGAGTTTTCTTTATCTAACTATATTGCATTTTTTCAAGAATTGGTACACATAGGACATAAATTTAAGGTTTTAATATATTTTTGATCTTCATATTTTTTTATTATTTTTAACTTTTAATATTTTTTAAAAAAATTATACTTTTATCTCTCTATTTAATATTTTTTGTTTTTACCCTTTAAATTTATATAGATAGCATATTTTTAATAACATGAAATTGAATCAGGAGAGTTTATGATGACATCATAACAAACAATTTTGTCATGTCATATATTTAAAAAATAAAAATTAATTTTATAATATTATTTATGTTTAATTAGAGTTTTTGTCCCCTTATTTTATCTGATTTACAAAATTAATTATTATATTTAAAATTTAAATAGTTTTAATTCTCTCTTTTATGTTTACACTTAAAATTAATGATATTTTCATTTTTTAAATGTCAAATTTCTTGTGAAATATGACAAATTATCGTATATAAATTTATCATAAAATTTTATATCTAATGATATAAGTTAAAAAGCAAATATCTCATCAACTTTCTACGAGAAATAGAAATATGAGACATAAACGGTATAAATTTAAAATAGAGGGATTAATTTTATGAATCAGATAAGATAAAATAGAAACAACAAAATTGTAATTTAATATATTACTTTTAATAGTAAGACTAAAAAGTAAAAATAAAATTTTAAATTATTTATATTTTGAAAGAATAGTTTAATTATTTTAAATTAATATTTTAATAGGAAATTTAAGTAATTAGCTAATTATATAAAGTTTGAGAAATGATTGAATAAGTGACTTATAAAAAGAGGGTTCAATGAAGTTTCTCACCTGTGTATCCTTAAAATTAACCATTAGATCAAAAAACACAACAAGATTTCATTAGTCAATTTTTAATAAGGTTAAATCAATAAAAAGAAAAATGGGATAGAAAAAGAGAGGGGGCTATATTGATACTCTCTCAAATAGAAACAGATCTAAAGAAAGACAGTCTAAAGATAATCTTTTCAAAATTGGTCCTAAAACATAATGGTAAAGAGTTGGATTGCATTAATCGTAAGCCCTAAGTTAGTAAGGGAGTATGCATAATTGTTCTCTTGTCTATAAATGTGAGAAACAACAAAAGATATTTTAAAATTATATTTACACAATTATTAGATGATAGGTTTCGATTTAGAGGGGGTGAATAGATCATAAATTTAAAACTAAAAACTCTTAGTAAAAAATTCTTTTAAAAAAGTATGGCACATCAGAAAAACAACCTGAATCGGATCGTCTAACCGAACCTACTATCGAAAAGATATATGTGCAACGTAAACCTTATGGAATGATAATGAATGCAAATCGTTCAACAATGATCAACTCGCGGATCAATCAAATGAAAAGTTATTCGTAATGCTTATTTCCAATGAACACAAAGCGATAAAAATACTCAAAACAATTTATCGAACACTTTATGTGCGATTAATCACGTTTAAAAATTCGATTTATTTTGTTGATGTAAAGAGTCAATCAAAATCAAAGTGATTGTGATTATATCAACAACAACAATTTAAAAGAAAACTGAAAACAATTTCTAATCGAATTAATCGAAACAACAACGAAATCGATAATTTGCAAGAATAACAATCAAAGAAAATTAAAGCAATAAAGAGACACAAAGATTTGTTTAGGCAGTTCCACAATCAACCTTGTTTGGGTACGTCTGTCCTCAATCCGAAATCGAATTGAGATACTTGCAATTAACCTTATCTTTGCAAAAATGTTTATACAAAAGGTGGAGAATTATAATCCCACAAACTCTACTGTTTATTGTTGAATCAACCACCTCCAAACCCTTAATCAAGGCTTAATCAAGTCACCAACAATGCGGCTACAATCCTCTGATTATCCCGAGCACGCACTTGTTGAACCCAAGATTCTCGAACACGATTCACTGTCTCGTGCTACTCCATTACAAGGAAACCACCTTATCCCAAGGCCTTCGCTCGGTCAAATTCGTGTTTACGTGATATTGTCCAAAACCTTCAAATCACACTGATCTTGAAGGAAAACTCCACCTTGGTTTTCTTATTTGAAACACACAAATATCCCAACCCAATATTCTCGGTTACACCAAACCTAATTGAAAGTTATCAACCATAATCTAGATGGTCATCCAATCGAAAAATAATTAAGTGTAGTTCAATTGTGTGTATGCATAGAAGAGAGGTTGAAGATGATGACAATGTTTTGTAATCTGGTTTCGTATAGGTAATTCACTAGTACATTGCTATATAAATGGTGCATTGTAATACCCCAAATTTTTCCCTAAGATTTGTCGTTTCATCTTGCATTCCATTGCATTTAGGCATTACATTTAACCAGTCGCTAACAGGTTTGTGTAGCTGGTTTAATTTTGCAGGAAATAATCATGTGGCGCACTCTCTAGCGTATGAAGGGTAAAATGGTCATTTGCTCGCAGTCGGCTGTCAATTTTTGAAATTGAGTTGTAGTCAGGAAATTTGATCTGTGTGATATTGTGGATGTGAATTGGGGCCGAGGTGTAGTTGGAATGGTTTGATCGTGAAGGATTCGAGCCGTTGGAATTATATCAATTCAATTTTAGTTGGATGGAGTTAATCAGGAGATATGATCATTTGAATTTAATCAGACAGTTTGGATTTGATCGGATAAGGTTCATGTGGATTGCCGGAAAGTTTAATCGAAAGTTCTGTTGAAGACGAGATTAATTAGGTAAATTGGAGGAATTAGGAATTAAATTTCATTTCATTTTCATTTTTATTTTAAATCAATTTTGTTTCATTTTCTTAATTTTATTTTATTTTCATTCCATTATAAAGCCATTCATTTCATTCTTTAAGTTTTATTTTCATTGCATTTTTAAATAACTTTATTTTTTAAATAACTTTATTTTTTAAATAACTTTATTTCATTATTCTCATTTTCATTTTAAATTAATTTTATTTTCATTTTCATATTGTTTTCATTTTATATTGAACAAAAAGCATATATAATGGTTTTCATTTTTATTTTGCATAACAAAAATAATGTTTTCACAAAATAAAGAATTATTATTAATAATGATAATCCTTTACAAAAAAAATAGTAATAAATACATAAAATTACAAAGATAATAAATTGCATTTTCTAAAAAAGTCATAAAATTCCTAAGTGCCTAATTTGTCCGATTTTTTTCTTTGTTCCAATTCCGAGCTTTCGATTATTTCGTCGAACTTGCAAAAATAGCAAAACAGACAGCAATGTTATCGGTTAGAATTTTTATCTGACACCCTCAGAACATTGTCATCATCGGGTGCGTCGGGAGGGTAACGGATTTGCTCCGAAACCAACTTCCGACTCCTTTCCGACATTTCGGTAAATCCGGTAACTTCCGTTCTTATTTTAAGGCAACCGAGAGAGAGATAAAGAAGTGCTTTTGAAAAAAGTTGGTTTGGAAAACATGCTTATCCAAAAAGTGCTTATTAGAAAACCACTTATTTGAAAAAGGGTTTGCCAAACATGGCCTTAACACTTTTTTCAGAAATTTCTCAATTTCAACGGATCAACTCAGCCAACAACATGAAATCCGCGAGCCACCTGGGAATGTTCAACCAAGCGATAACCAAGTCAAACAAACAAAGCCCAACTACGAAACCAGCAATCAGCCATAAACAAATCGCGGAAAGAACACAAGTTATAATAAAATCAACAACAAACCCTCGAGACCGAGTTCACAGCAACAATTTCCAGAGAAAAACACTCCGAAAATTTCTCCAAATCCAACACAAAAGTCTTGATAGTAACGGATCCAGCCCAGAAACGAAGAGCATATATAAATCTTCATAAGGGTTCAGATAAAAACCCTAAGGAAGAACGAGGAGGCGGCAAGAACGGGTTTCAGAAAAGCCATTAAAGGCTTCATCATCATCAAACCGAGCAGAAGAAAAGAAGAACTTTTTCGCAGCGGCCGGAAAGAGGAAGAATACCGTCGAGACGACACCGACTAAACTCAGAAGGAGGATTGGCTTCCTCGTCTTCATCATTGTCAAACCAACAAACCGACAAGCGGCGGCGGAACCTACAAGGGTTCGAACACCATCCAAGCATCGCCGACGGGCAAACTCGCGACGGCCTCAGCGGAACACACCATTGGCCGTAAACACCACCGCAAATCCAAATTGCGGACGAAAGCACCAAGGAAGTCATCAAGAACCACCAATCGGCCGAAAAGTAAGGTGTTATTGAGATGATATGGTTTTGTTTTGGTGGTTTGTTTTCAGGTTCGTAGGATAAGCCACATGCCAAAAGGAACGAAGGAGCTCAAAGAGACCTTCAATGGCGGCGGTATGAAAAAGAAGAAGAAGATTAGGGTTGAAAATCCTAATG